TGTGGCTGCTGAAGAGCCTTAAGACTGCAATGCCCTTTGACACCTGCGAAAGGAGGGTTTCGAGGAAGGAGCTCCAGCCTACAGCTGCTCTGGTGGAGAGCCCAGTGCAAAGGGGAACCCCACGTTCTTCAGGCTAGTTGTCCTGCCCACCAGTGTTCCTCTTAGGCAAGTGTGGATCCCGTGATAGATCCCAAAGGTGGTAGTGCAGGCATCTTTCCGAAGGGAAGGTTAAGCCTTTCTTGTTTGTTTTATAGACATGCTCTCACTGTAGACCAGGCAGACTTTAAACTTGTGGTGATCCTCCTTCCTCTGCCTCTGAGTGCTGGCATTGCAGGTTTGGACCATCATGTCCAGCTTGCACTTCTCTTCAAAATTAGATTCAAGGCTACTGCTCTGAAGTTTCTGAGCATGGATGATTAGATCTTCTCAAGAGACCCCCTTTGACAAGTACTTCTAGGAGATTCTTAGGACCATGCAAGTTTCTGAAATACCTGGGGCAACTCTGAAGACTTAGGAGAGTTCTTGCATTTCAGGTGCAGTGATGGGTTCCAGTAACAGAGTTTTACTGGATATAGAACAGCCAAGTAGGCTGGTCATTTTAAGAATGAGAAAATTGACTTTCTACTCTTTTTTTTTTTATATATATATATAAAATGTGCATATTCTATTACTTTGATTGTCTGATAAACTATGACTGGTCTCAAACCAAAGAATTTGTTGCGTTAATTTGTGCAGCGTTCACTGTAGTGTGTACACCGACACAGTTAACCAAGAGCCCAGTCCGATACATGACTCTACATTATTATATAAAACCTTTCTTTGGGTGCTTATGAAAAGGTATCTCTAAGGTTGAAAAACAGTTTTCTTGGGTTTTGTATCTATAAACGCATTTGTTGCCACACAGTGTGGGATTCACTGTTGAATGTTTGCATGTGTAACTTACACATTGCTAACATTTGTAGTGTATCCTTGGTCAGCAACCCTGTGAGATGGATATTGTTGCCAGGAAATTGGAGGGGCTAAGGAATAAATTTAGTTCTTCAACCCCAATGACAAGACTTTGTCTCTATGACAGAGAAAATTGTACGGATAAGTCTTTTACCTTTCAAAGGTTAACAAGAGAGAAGGTGGGCTGGGAGCCTCAGTCTTACAGATTATTGCAATGCCGTGTGATCGTTTCCTGATTAAAAACAATTTTGTCTTAAATGATAGGTTTGAGGGAGACGGTCTGATCTCCTGGAGTTAGAGCTGGTCCAGAAACTGGTCCTGTTTCAAAATGTTGGAGGAAGACATGGAAGTGGCCATCAAGATGGTGGTGGTGGGGAACGGGGCAGTTGGAAAGTCAAGCATGATTCAGCGCTACTGCAAGGGCATTTTCACAAAAGACTACAAGAAAACCATCGGCGTTGACTTTTTGGAGCGACAGATTCAGTACGTACCTGGCACTTTATCCCTTGGTTCTAACTTGTAAAGTGTCTAAGCTGTGACTGGAAAGAGAAGCAGCCATGCTGTCCATCCATGCCAGGCAGCGAGCGGTGGAGGCTTGTGGAGCAGTTAATGCTGTTCCATTATGTTTTTTAAACGAGGCTTTATGTTGCCCACACTGGCCTTGACCTTGCTTTGTGACCAAGATGACCCTAAACTCCAGTCCTTGTGCCTGTTCTCCCCAGGCTTCAGCTCACACTCCTGACCCTGTGTTTATATTTTTGAGACAGTCCTTTTGCTGCCCAAGCTGGCTGCAAGCTGTGTTGTGGTGTGATAGTATCTTATAAGTGTAGCACAAATTCAGGCTGTCCTGCCTCAGGGTCCAGAGCTGAGATGGCAGACATGTATCATCATGCTGACACTCAGAGGTCTTGACCTATTCCCTAGGAGTAGGACAGCACTGTATTTGCTGATCTAATCCTCACAGTAACATTTGGTGTCGCTCAGTGGTAAAGCACATGATGAGCATGCAAAAGGACCCGGGTTTGATCTCCAGTGACACACGGTGATAGAGTCCACAGTGGCTGTAGTGAGAAGCAACTACACCACAGTGGTTTTGTTTGTTAATGTAGAGGTCCACCGAGCTGGCTGCTGCTGTCCCAATTCTCATCCCATTGCAAGGACACCAGACCCATTTAGAGTGGTGTAGTAAGAGGAGGAAAAGATCCCACCCAAGGGATTCCGCTCTCCCACTTCCGCTGATCTCAGAGCCACTGTCTACGACTCACTGTAGAAACAGCCGGCAGACAGAGTGTAATGTAGCTGTACTTTCAGTATTGGGATCGTCCCCGTCATTCAAAACCGTGTCACTCTGAGAATCAACAACAGAGCTTTCAGACTTTTGATTTAAAATAAGCATGTACGTCAACCTTTCCATTTTGTGTGGAATAAAGTCATCTCTTGTTTCAGGGTTAACGACGAGGACGTGAGGCTGATGTTATGGGACACTGCAGGTCAAGAGGAGTTTGATGCAATCACAAAGGCCTACTACCGAGGTAAACTAGGAAGCCTTTCTCTGGCTACATAAAGAAACACTGCTTTTTTTTTTGGTGTCTTACATAGATAGGGTTTCTGTTGGCCTGACAAAATACCATGACCAAAATTAAGTTTAGGAAGAGAGGGTTTGCTTCATCTTACAGTGTTCAGGTCACACTCTCTGTCACAGAGGGAAGTCAGGGCGGGGACTCTGAGCATGAACTGAAGCACAGACCATGGACGCATGCTGCTTCTCCTGCCTAACACTCCAGAGCCCCGAGTTCAATCCCCAGAACCAGAAAATGACGACAGCAATAACAAAGGAAGTGCTGGCCTAGTGTGGTGGCTGTCATCTCAACAAGGGGAAGGCTGAAGCAGAGCAGGAGGGTCATGGCAAGTTCGAGGCTAGCCTAGTCTATGTAGCCAGTTCCAGGCAGCCAGTGATAGATAGTGGGATCTCAAAATATATATAAAGAAATAAAGAAAAGTTAGTTTTAGGGGATTTTTAAAGGCTCTGGTTCAGTATCCTTCTAAAAACCTTTTTTTTTCTTTTTTTTTTTTTTTTTTTTTTATGTATATGAGCACACTGTAGCTGTTTTCATACACACTAGAAGAGGACATTGGCTCCCATTACAGATGGTTGTGAGCCACCATGTGGTTGCTGGGAATTGAACTTGGGAAGAGTCAGTGCTCTTAACCACTGAGCCATTTCTCCAGCCCCCCTTCTAAAGATCTTGTAAAGAACTAAAGCTTTGTACTGTAGACAGTTTGTCCCACCCTAAAGTTACATGATGCCCAAAGGCCAGGGAGATAGAATCAGCCAGAAACTGGCCCGTCTGTTTCTTTCATGCCTCCTTCAAGATAACATCGGCATCTGGTTTATTTTCTTCTCCATGATTGAGTTTCATTATTTTACTTTTATGCTTTGGTGCTAAGGATTGAAGTCTGGGCTAGGCACATTCTCCTCCAGTCTGCTGAATCAGCCCCCTGGGTAGAGATTATAACCCTACACCACTGACTACTCTAGTACCTTTTAGATAATCCCAGACCACACCATTCTCTGTTTGTAAAGTCTGTTCGTCCCCAAAAGTACAAAATGACTCTAGTGCTGGGACTTGCATTGTAAACACGGTGTTTAAATTACGTTCTGTTTCCCTTGGATTAAAAGGCTTTGGTTTCTGTAAATTCATCCTTTTAACTGAAAATGGCCTTAAGCTTATAAATAGATGCCTGTGACGAGCTCTTCACAGTAGTGTAACTAACTTCTTATCCAGGTCAGTTAGGATGGCAGAGGAGTGGGGCACTGGTAGCTCCTCCGTTGTGTGCGCTTCTCATCACAAAGGGGGAGCATACTTCACACACCGGCTGAGTGAGGAGGAAAGGGCAGCAAGTCTCTCACGTTTGAGAGGTGCTTTGTTCTGTCCCTGTATGGTTTCTTTGAGATTCCTTAAGATCACTGAAAACAGAAAAACGCCTTCAGATTAGTTTAAGGCACAAACAAGGTATATTCATTTGATTAATAGAGAAGTCTGGAAGTAATATAACCTTTCATACTTAATTTGTAGGATTGTAGCTGGGTGTGGGTTTTATGCCTTTAATCCCAACACCCAGGAGATAGAGGCAGGTGGATATCTATGAGTTTGAGGCCAGCCTGGTCCACATAGTGAGTTCCAGGCTAGCCAGGGCTACCATAGAAATAGAGGGACCCTGTCTCCATGAAAAATGGTGTCTCCCCTGATTAAGGTTGATGGTACATACCCAGTGTTGTTTCTGTGTGTTTCCCCTCTAGTGTATACATGGTGAGTGTCAAATATTCTATTAAGTACTTAATGTCCCACCACTAGGATGCTCTTTCCTAGTGTCTGAGCAACATGAGGCTAAGTAGGGGAAAGACCAGTCTTTAAAAGAAAGGAATGTCCAAGTATGGTGCTTAGTCCTAGCACTCTGGAGGCAGAAGCAGGTGGACCCCTGTGAGCTCAAGGCCAGTGTGGTCTACAGAGTGAGTTCCAGGACAGCCAGGGCTGTGTAGAGAGACCCTGTCCTAAAAACAAAGAGAAAAGAAAAGAGAGAAAGAGAAAAGAATGCCAGGCAAAGTCATTAAGGAAGAAATTCCTGGATCATATAAAGTCTATTACCTACATGATCTGAGCTGCATGTTTGTTTGTTTTTGGGGGGGTGTCCTCTGTATCTGATGTAATATTGCATGTGATATGTAATAGGAATACCATAGTCATCAGTTGGGCCTCGTGGTGTACATACAGGTAACAGAGGGGCACAGTAAGGACCCTAATCAAAATCATTTTCTTATGTGTCCCTATGTCTACATTCCCTGATGCCTCCTGGGACATTTCATTTGCTGTTTGGAGCACTTGAAATAGTTGGCTATCTTTAATTCCAGTCTTTCTTGTATCCAGTTTAACTCTGTAAGCTCCACTTCATGCGGAGTGTCAAGCTCTAGTTTTAGAAGACATTGGTCTGCAGGATCTAAGCTGTTGTCACTCTCATTTGTGGACAATAACCTGATTTGTCCCATTGTCTTGCTTTGACCAGATTCTAGTTTGGGGAAGTAAAGAGAAAGTTACATTCCAGAAGAGATCAGATAACAGGACAGTATCTTTCTAATCCCTCAGCAGAACTACCCTTTTCCTAGAGTGCCAGATAATTCTGTTACGGGGAACAAGAGGCAGCAGCAGTGGGAAGCAACCTCACCAGGATCTTCTCAGTTCACACAGGGAAGCGGGGTCCAGGGAAGTAGGAGTAACTCTGTAGTATTGTTCATCCATTTCCTATTGGCAGGATGTGAGTCTATTCAGTATTATTCTGAATCCTAGCTGACTGTACCATAATGTCCCTTGAAGATTCGTTTAACCAGGGAGCATGGGCTACAAACTCCATCTATTATCTTTCATAAAATCTCCGTAGACCGTTTGTCCTAACCTGGGCATTAGGAAGTTTGGCCATTTCTCCATAGCTGCCTCATAGGTTCCATCTGTGTTGACGTGTTAACCGTCTGCTGTGCTGAAGGACACACTTCTTCCCACCTCTGTCTTTGAGTCAGCCTTGGAATGTTGTCTGGTATTTTTAGACCATTCTTGCAATATGTCACTTAAATTGACAAGAGTTCCCCATCTTTTCTCCTCTTCTTTTTTTAAATTCATTTTTATTTGATGTGTTTAAGTGTTTGCCTGCATGCATGCCTATATGTGTACCACGTATATGCAGTGCTCCTGAAGGCCACAAGAGGGGGGTCGAGGATGCCCTGGAACTGGAGTTCCATGGGTTATGAGCCACCATGTAGGTGCTGGGAATGTCATCTGTGGAGTTTGAGACCACCAAATTAGTTCCTATGGATCAGAGATCACGTGATTGGTGGGTTTTGTTAGGTACAATACTATGAGATCTCCAGGCCACATTTACTGGGCAAATGGTCACTGGACAGGTTCTACTGTGACAGGGAACATAGGCAGACTCCTCAGAACAAGTGCTAGACCTAGGAATTGGATGTATCTTATTGCAATATTGATGGCAATGCAAATAGTTTACAAAAAAAAAAAGTGGAGAGAATTTATTTCAGTGTCTTGGCTATAGAGGTTGACTCTGTAAAATACAGGTATCCAAAAAGGAATTCCCGTAGGTTTAAGATTTACAATAGGGCTCTTCCTGGGATTTTCTTAAAAGTCCAAGTTACACTGAATTAAAAGTCCTTTTCTGGGGGCAATGAGAAATTTGAATCTTTTCAAGAATAAAGACTTGGTTCAAGTAAGATGAGAGGTCTGGGTAAGAAGCAGGCACAACTGAAGCATAGCTAGAGCAGGGGTAGCATCGTTCAAGTCTTCAGTATTGACATTCTTATCACCTAAGGAAACATACTAAAGAATATTTTTAAATTCTCAGAAAATGTCTAAAAGGGCCCAGGCTAGGGTTTAAGCCCCATCGCTGGCCCTTGTTTGATGGGCAGTAAGAGGTGAGGAGGTGAGGATCATCCCACCTTTCTGGGGTCCAGATGGGACATCAGGAGGAGGCGCTGCATGTCTGAGGTGGGCATAGGACCCTGAGCTAGTGCTGCAGCACGGAAGGCAGTTAAGATGCCTGACAGGGTTTTCTCCATTGGGGCCAGAAGACAAATACTGGCTGCTTGATTCAACAGGGATGCTAAAAGAAACACTGCAAAGCAGGCTGCTTTCAGAGAAGGTTGGATGACATGGTGCGGGCATTAGGCACCACTGGCTGGCTGATGGTTAGTGAGGGATGACCTGGCTGTGGCTTGGAGCTCCGACACCCGCACAGACCTCTACAACCTTCCCTTTGGCTCCCTTGTTGTACTGGTGTGGTGTAGGGGCCGTGCACAGGTTGAGTCCTTCTCTCAGAACTCCTCTGTATTAGTCAGGGTTGTCTATAGTCACAGAACTTATGCATATGTAGTCTCTATATAGTAAGGGAATTTGTTGATGACTTACAGTCTGTAGTTCAACTCCCCAACAGTGGTCAGCAGCAGCTGTGAATGGAAGTCCAGGATCTAGCAGTTTGTCAGTCCCTCAAGGCAAGCAGGCGAGGAAGTCTTCCTTCTTCCAATGTCTTTATGTAGGTCTCCAGCAGAAGGTGTGGCCGAGATTAAAGTGTATACCAACACACCTGGATCTGGGACTTGCTTTGTCCCAGATGACCTTGAACTCAGAGATCTCTTTGCCTTGATCTCCTGGGATTCATAGGCACTATGCCTCAAGATCTCCATGGCAAGATCCAGGTCAGAAACTTGTATCTCCCAGTCTCAAGGATCACAGGTGAGCTTTCCAATTCTGGACTGTAGTTCATTCCAGACACAGTCAAGTTGACAACCAGGAATAGCCACACCCTCTGTGATGGGATTGATTTCCAGGAGGCCTTCTTCCCTCAAAGTGTGTCATTTATATTAGGTCCGGGAGCAGCCAGGGAAACTGACCTTATTTCCCTGTGTCTGTTGAAGATTTGTCCATGATTCCATGGTACTTGTGAAAGAAAGCTCTCAGCTTCCTCTCATAGAGGTCTTCTGGCCTCTTCATAGGTGGTGTGGAGTCCGTGGGGGCCACTGTCTCCCAAGTTTCACATCATCTTCAACTTGTAGGAAGAGGAGCCATGAACATTTTGTTTCTAAAAAGTTGCATGCTAGCAGCAGACAGGAACACAAGTCACCAGTAGGAGAGCTGACACCTGCGGTTTCTCTGGTTGAAACTCAGTGGGGTTTGTCTCACAGAGTGTTAGAAACTCCCACCGTTCAAATCCTATTTTTACTCTGAGGAGCAGAGTTTTTTAAAACATGGTGGGATTTAAAGCAGACTTAGCTCCAGTACCCAGCAGGGCCTTGGCTTCTTCTTAGTTAATAATTATTTCTATTTCTTTCAAGGTATTACTAAGAGAAAAGGAAAACTCTGGATTCCCACACAGCAGCCCCATTCCAGTCTAATGTTTTCTTCTGAGGTCTCTCGAGGCCTGTTGTCCATTTTGGGAGAACATCAACTTGAGTTTCTTTCGGTTTTGAAATGTCTAGGCTTTTTAGAAGTCCTCTTGTCCCAAAATAGGGGGGGGGGGCTAGTCTCTTTGTCAGGAAACATAACTGTTTTAATTACAAGCTCATAATCTGGACAGCCATGTCTTTTTTCCCCCCACTCATAATAGTTCTTAAAAGTTGATCTGCCCATACTGTGTGGCCCATACTGTATTCAAAGTGGCCAGATCTTCCAGCTTTTCCATAGTGGAGGATTTAACAAAGCATCACTCTGTCCTCTAAGTCCTCAGGGGACTGACTTTCAGACACAGCTACCTCCCATAAGGCGCATTGGTCAGGGAAGCCCCAGAGGTACCAGGAACAACCCAGGCTGTTGCCGTTTCTCACTGTTTCTACCACGTCCAAATGGTCAGAACTCACTCTGTATAAAAGACATAGAGGAGTCAACCTCAGCTGACTGGGAAACTCTCCCAGATAGCTCACTCTCATAGGGCTGGGAGGCACTGTGCAGGCTCTTGGAGGAGAGAAGACATCAGCATCTCATTTAGCATCATACACTGTATGGTACCATATAACAGACAGATATGCCTGGCCACATGTGCTCACTGGCACTATAGTATGCCAGTGGGGGACAGTTATGGGGTGACCAACTTCCTGACTGAGTCTGGAGCTGGCGTGCCTGGTACTGCAACATAATCAGAAGCCCGTGACTGAGATCTTAGGTCCCTGGTGGGGAACCTACTGCTGCCTTGTTAAATGGTGTGCTAGGATTTGTAAGCTGCCTTCTCATGGTTCGTGCTTATGTACGCAGGTTTGGGTGGCTTCCAACTATGGTGGGAAGCTGCTGGTTTCCAGCAGGTAGTGGTTAATACAGACATTCATACATGGACAGAGGTAACGAGTGCTTGGCCGTGGATGCATCAGCTGTGTCAGCCCCCACCCCCAGTCAGAGTGTGGGAGACACCACCATGGGGTGGAGAACATTTAAGGGCGGGTAGAATGGGAAGAGAGCTGCGATACTGACTTCCGGGCATGGTGTGGCTGTGGTACTCCATGCTTATCTGCTCAAGACCTGCTGTACATCAAGCCAGTTAAGATTTCAGCCTGGGTGAGGCAGGGGCCCCTAGCAGAGGAGCTCTTGCCCGTGAGAGTAAACACCAGGACAGGTGTCTCTGATCTGACTCTTTCCGGTTTCTCCTATGGTTCCATAGATAGTTTTTATTATGTTAATTGCCTTTAAACCTGTCAAGTCTCCTTGAGCCCCACCTCCAGCCCCAGTGGTTTATTTGGGAAGGAGTAGAAAGGGGAGGATGTTAGGGAAGGGGGAGCTTCAACATCCTGAGGCTATGACTGTACTGAATGTAGAAACTAATTCTCACTGTAGGAAACGGTCCAGTCCCTTTAAAGAACCTTGTAGAGCTGCCTGGGGAGCCTCCCGGATTTACCAGGTCCTCGTGGGAATGCCCTAAGAAACCCAAGGCCCTGCAGAAACAAGGAGACGCAAATAAAAACAAAGTCTCTTAGACACAAAAAGAGGAAACTGCTGGAGGTGCTGGCCAGTTGGTGACTGGCACCGAATGGGTCTCTGCAGCTGTCCCACAGGGAAGGGGACATAGGCAGGGGCTGGCCTACCCCAGTGTCTGCCCGGCCAGTGTCCGCCAGTCGCTCAGTTACTCCCGGGTCACCTGAGCTGTTGCATCAACATTACATCTTCCTCTATCCTGACATTCCTCGCTGGCCTCTGCCCATTCTATCACCTACCCAGGAGCTGGGGAGAGGCTGTGTTTGTTTTCCTTGGTCCTTCGTTTCTCAACTAACACTGAGTTTTTCTGAGCTCTGTGGTTTAAGCAGACTCCAAATGTCACCGTGAGGCCTTCAGCAAAAGCCTGCCGTTCCCACTCACTGTCCTTTCTGCCTTTAGGTTGGAATTAAGCCCCGTTTTGTAATGTTTAACTACAGCATGTTCAGTTTGAGTTAACTTTGACACTTGAACTGATTGTTTTTCATAACAAATTGTGCTTTTAATTTGAAAGCTCATTGACTGAAGCCTAAGCAGAGTATTTAACCGTGTGTTCAGTATTGGTCCAGTGGGAGCCGTGCTAAGTGGAAGTTGTCTGTGCTAATCTGGTGACGGTTTCCTTTTGTGATCTTGCAGGAGCCCAGGCCTGTGTGCTTGTGTTCTCTACCACAGACAGGGAATCTTTTGAAGCAATTTCCAGCTGGAGAGAAAAAGTAGTAGCGGAAGTTGGAGATATACCAACCGCACTCGTACAGAACAAGATTGATCTGCTGGATGATTCATGCATCAAAAAGTAAGACGTCTTGCCATTTTAGCCCGCCCTCCCTCCCACCTCTCCTCCCTGTTCTTTGTGGCCTCTGTGTGTATCCCCTACTGTCCTGTTTAAATCTGTATTAAAGCATTTCTCATACTGACTTGTCCTGAAATTCTTTCTGTGGTAGACATAAAAATCTGCTGCCACAGGGGAGTGTAGCTAGGGCTCATGTGCTTCTCCTACCCCATGGTGCACAACTAGATTCCAGCACGCTAGAGGCTGAGGTAGGGTTGCCCAAGTTCTGGGCTAGCCTGGGCTACATAGGAAGGGCCAGTTTTTTAGAAAATTAATTTAAAAATGGAAGGAAGAGAGCAAAGCCTTGTTTTAATGTTTATAGTAAGTAGATCTCTGTGTGGAAGGCATTAAGCAAGTTTTGTATTCTCAGAAATAGCTCAATTTAGGAAATTTAGAAGGATGTTATCTGAGGCAGGGTCTCTCCATCACCATGGAGACCACTGTTAGCCTTTAAAACACAGACTAAAACCAGCAAGACTCATAGTTAGCAAGCCCCAGTGACCCTCCTGTCTCCACACACCAATAGCTGTGGACTTTGAGGCGTGTATGAGACTGCACCCCTCTCATTAGCTGGGTGCTCTGATCTGACCTAGTAGTCTGCATGGCTGTGCAGCAAGCTGCCTTTTTTTAACCATGGGACCATCTCTGTGTTCCCTCAGCTTTTTTTAACAGTTAATCAATCATCCATATACATATTTTATATATCCGTATATATTACCTATACATATTTATTCCTTATTAATAATATTTTGATAGCTTTTGAACACTTGCTCTGTTTTTACCTTTTCTTTCTCTTACTCTCTTGCTTTGCCTGTTGAGAGTTAGTGGCTCTGTGGCCCAGGCTGGCCACAAGCTCATTCCCTATACAGGTGGACTCAGACCCATCGAGCCTTAGCCTCGTCCACGCTGGGCCTGCACACCCGGGGGAGGGGCTGCTCTGAGGCGGCTCACTCACTTGATGTTCTCATATTCTGATAACACGGCAGCCATTTCCTCAAGAGGAACCATAATGACGTGGATGACCTCTCCAAAGGCTGTCATTGGACATAGGCCAGTCTTAGTGACAGGGTTGGGAGAGCTACCCAGGGAATGCAAATCAGCAGTCTGGGGGTCACAGGGAGCCATTTTGGAGCAGGCCAACTACAGTCCTGTAAATTTACACAGTCCTCATGAAAATAAAAGTCTGTCAGCAGCGTGGGCACTACTGTGCTCACTTTGTCTTTTGGCAGGAAGAGGACCATAAGTAACTTACAGTGTGCTAGCTTCTGATGCTGTTAAAGACAAGTAGCTTCCTAGCACGATCTCATGTGTTCTAGAGTGACCTCCAAGTCTTGTAACTGAGGATGACCTTGAAACTTTGGCTCTTCTGCCTTGTCATTCGGGCACTCTCCCAACTGAGCTATGGCCCCAGACCCAATTTAAGATGTTCTCTAGAGAAAAGTAATGTATAACTGACTTCTAGGTATGCATTTTGTTCACAGCTATTGTGAATGATTGATGGGTATCCCACAAGAGGAGAGTCCTGCTCAAGTGCTGCCCTCAGCTTTCTCTCCATTTTAGTTAAGGGGGAACAGATAGCACCCCTCCACCAGCTACCCGTATTATCCCTGCACCCCCCATTACCCCTCACCCCCACCCCCATTACCTCTCCATTCCCCCTTTACCCCTCCACTCCCCCCCAGTGCCCTCCACCCTCCATTACGCCTCTACCTCCCTTTTCCCCCTCCACCCTTCTGGTGTTATAGCTACATTGGAAAGTCACTTAGGAGACCCTCTGAGCTGTCCTGGCTTTGTTTCTGATTGTTGTGCAGTGAGGAAGCGGAGGGACTGGCCAAAAGGCTGAGGCTGAGATTCTACAGGATGTCCGTGAAGGAGGATCTGAACGTGAACGAAGGTAATTACTGCAACACAAGTTTGGGTCGTTTTTTAAAAGGTTATTTCCGTTGTGTTTAGAAATTGGATTTCAAAACAATCTGAGAACAAAATTTTCTTCTTGCCACATCATACTAATTTTGAAGGTGTTCTGTTCCAAGGGTCCCTAATGAGTCAGTAATATTCGTAGTTATTTGCCACTTTCTCTCCTGAGCTTATAGTGGGCTCCTCTTTGCCAGCCTTTGTTTTCATAGCTCTTAAACCTAAGCTGTGGTCCAGCAGGCACCCAGCAGGTGTTCAACCCTGCAGCCCAGAGTGGGAGGAGACAGAACCAGCTCCCATGGGGGTTTCCCACCATCCACACAGAGTAAATAACTGACTGAAAGACGTATTATATAAATAATCTATGTATTCCTTGCATAACTTTTAGAAGTTACCAAATTGTTTTATTATTGTACCATAGTAGAAACTCCACCAGGCAGCGACATTTCTTCACTGTTTTCTAGTTTAAGAAAGGAAGGTTAGCCGGAAGGCGGTGGCGCACGCCTTTAATCCCGGCACTCAGGAGGCAGAGGCAGGTGAGTCTCTTGAGTTTGAGGCCAGCTTGGTCTACAGAGTGAGTTCCAGGACAGCTAGGGTACAAAGAGAAACCCTGTGGACAAGACCAAAAAAAAAAAAAAAAACAGAGTACGATTAAAGACAATTTTAGAGGCTTTCCTCATTCTGGAATCTTCATGTTTAGGTTGCAGCTGGGTTGTCATTAGGGTCTTTATGCTGTGTACTTTTCATCATTTGAAGAAAGTGAATGTGTCTTTCAAGACTGAACTAGTTTAAGCAGGGCGTGGTGGGTGCGAGCCTATAGTCCTAGCACTTAGAAAGTGCAGGCAGGAGTTCAGGCCATCTCAGGCCTTGTCTCCAAAGCAAGAGGATGAGTCAGGGTAGTGTGGTCCTGTGTTCAGCCTGATTCCAGCTTCTCAGACAGCAGAGCACGGGCAGACAGTGCACTCCTCTCTCCGCTAGACACTTCAGTGACCGGCACATCACTGTACTTCTCAGGGGCTGCTCAAATAATTTCTAAAAGTTGAATTTTAACTAAATTGTATTCTTTTAATCTAGTGTAATTTAAAATTTATATAGTAAGTATAAATAATGCAATCTGAAAATAGACTTACTTGCATAGTTATACTGACTGTGTGTGTTTTCTAGTTTTTAAATATTTGGCTGAGAAACACCTACAAAAACTGAAACAACAAATAACTGAAGATCCAGAGCAGACACATTCAAGTAGTAACAAAATTGGTAAGTGCGTGGGAAACTCCCGCCCGCCTGAGTGTTGACCTGGCTCTCTGTCCACTGTTGCTGTACGTACTTTTTAAAATGAGTAACGGCTCATTTCTGTAAGAAGTCTGGGTTAAATCTATTGAATTGTGATTACTGCGCTCGGTGGGTATCAGCTCTCCTGTACCGGGATTTGTTACTTCTGAGTTTTCACTCCACACAGCAGTGATGTTGTTGATGCTGTCTTGGCCTCAGAGGCTCATGGACACAGAAGCGGGCACAGTGAGGCGTGTACCCCAACTTTTAGTCCGTCCTTCCTCCCTCCCTTCCTCCCTCCCTCCCTCCCTCCCTTCCTTCCTTCCTTCCTTCAGAGCTGTGCAGTTAGAGTTGCCTTTGAACCGTCCAGTGGGTCTGTGGTCTCTCACGGGTGTTGCACACGGTATATCTTGTGTGGGCATGGTGACAGCAAGATGAGACTAAGCTACACAAAAAGACCTTGTCTCCAGAAACCAAACAAGATGATAGATACACTGTCATATGGTGTTTCTTCCCTGTCTACTGTCAATCACCTGTTAGACTGCAGCTCCCATGGGCAGCGGCTGGCCTTGGAGTCTGTTTCCCTGATGGTGCCCATGGCAGGGTTTTGTGTAGCTTAATGCTCTGCAGTTCATGAGTTAGCGGTTCTGTTGTGTGCACAGCACATGTCAAGGTACGGATATAATAGCTTCCTCTCTCACCCACTGGTCACTCTACCTGTTGGCCAATTTGGGTTTTGGTGTTTAGCCTCAGGATGAAGTTACTGGAGATGGGTAGCAGTCAGTTATAGCAGCACTGAGTTATAGGACGCTGACCTGCATGCTCAGGCTGTTTCTGTTCTAGTAAAAATGAGAGCAACCAAGGTACTGAATTCTCTATCTCACGCTACTAATAAATGATATGCACACGACAGGTGACTTGGGGGTGGATCAGTCACTGTGCTTTCCCTGATTTATACAGGTGTCTTTAATGCATCTGTTGGAAGTCACTTGGGCCAGAATTCAAGTTCCCTTAACGGTGGAGATGTCATCAACCTTAGACCTAACAAACAAAGGACCAAGAAAAGCAGAAATCCTTTCAGCAGCTGTAGCATACCCTAAACTGCTTTAGGGAGGAGAAGGCTGAATGCATCGTGCAGTTAAAGGTACCGTGTAGTTAAAGGCACCGTGTGCGGGGTGTGTCCTGCGTGTATCAGCGGGCCTCGCACCTCGCTCTGAAAGCTGACATTGTAATGTTGTTCTGACACGCTTCTCAGAATGTAGACGGAGCCCTCTGCTGGAAAATTACTGCCCTGTGGACTCACTCTAGTTTTTTACCTTAGACGAAGCTTCTCCTGTTTTTGAAGAGAGACCATAGGAAATGTCAAAAACAGGTTTTGCTGAATTTTAAATGCTGAAAACAAAACCAACATGACTAACTACATTGGTAACCATTTTACCCTGATAGACCAAGGAGAGATGGCGAGCATTCTTGTTCGGAAACTGGTTGTCAAGCTTTTCTGGAATGTTCAATCTAAATGCTTAAAGAACATACTGAAGGGGAAACCCGGACTTTGTGAGACTGCCCCGGTGTGTGTGTTGTTAGAAGTACTCGTGCAATATCCGTGAGGTGTGGACTGTGGGGGTGTGTGCATGCAGACGCCTGGCTTGGACAGAAGGCCTGTGCCCTGGGAAAGGGTGTGCAGATTCTAATTAGTTCACTCGTACAACTATTGTGTATGTTTCTGGTCTCACATGAGACTTTGGGACACACTACAGAACGAACTTGGACGCAAGTGTACCGTGTGCCAAACACTACCCCTAATTTTTACAGTCCTTTCCTATTAGACTTTGTATTTATGGCATCTTGTAAAGGCAGTTCCTCTCCGACAGGTAGGTGAAGGGAATATAAACATCTGAGTGCTAGGTCCTGTCCCTCGTAGGATTTTCCAGAATCTTCTCCATGGTCACTGTAAGCACAGTGAGCTTGTGCCTGGTACACACAGCAGCCTGCAGCCACTCAGAAAACCCCCATGGAGTGTGCACACTAGCTTCTGGCTGCTGACTTGAGACCAAACTCTGAACTTCGGAGATGAAGGGAACCGTCTTTGGTCCTGATGACAGATTTTCTGAAGCCCTGCAACTCAAAAGCATCCTTTTGTTTACATACTTGGTATAGCATTTTACGATTATTGCTTGAATTTTTCTGTGGCCTTTGGATCAGAAAGAAGCATCTGTAAAGAACTGACCCAGTATGTAAGTGAAGGTCAAAATGAGTTGGATACTAGCCTGCCAAAGAGAGAATGTCATGAATTCTATTAAAAACTCATTATTCTCAATCAGTAATTTTGCTTTGAAAGTATCAAAACCCATTTCCACAGTCCTGGTTTTCATACGACTTCAAAATATATAAAAGTGATTTTTTCTTGGAACATGTGCTATGAAGTCCTTTTCTTTTCTTTCTTCCTTTCTCCTTTCTTTCTTTCTTTCTTTTTTTACTTAATTTAAATAAAAAATAGAAATATTTCCTGTATTTCTCTTTTTTTTTTTTTTACATTTACCCTCGTCGTCCCACCCCTCCTGCCCAGATTCCTGTTTTGTGCACAGAGGTCACTTGGCACCCTTGCTCCATGGTGGGCTGCATGCTTGCTTTTCACACTGCGCATCCCAAGCCATCCAGGTGAGCTGTGCAGTCAGCCTTAGCGCCCCCACTGCCGGGGTGAGGCGAGGGGCTGGGCTCCTCACGGTGGTGCCACTGTGAGTCACCAGTTTTCTCTTCAAATACAGACTCTTCAGTTTTTGCACAAAGTAAATTGGTTGGTAAATAAATCAGTTGCCACTTTTAGTGGCATTGGCAGAAAATTCATTCCTTATAGAACACCGTAGCTTTATGTACAGTCACTAAACGGGTGGTAAAAAGGTGTGTGCTGTGTCTCTATAAATAGTGTCTGGTGACCGCTGCACTTTCCTTAATGTTTGTTATTTTGTCTCCGCGCTTGGAACCAAGGACCAAACCCAGGGCTAGGCAGACGCTCTGCCACTGAGCTAAATCCTCAACGCCTTCCTTAATATTTGTAACAGAAGTTTATGTGTTTTGTTTTACCCATCTCTTTTATGGAAGTGTTCATTACACATTTGAATTTTTACTTTGCATTACTGTGTTTTATACCTAACTTTAAAAGGTCTAAAATCAGCCACAAGTAATATTAATTTGTCAATACATTCAATTCTGAAATCTTCAAAAGTCACATTATCGGTTTCTTCTATGACTGTAATGCTGAAGAACTTTAATATGAAATTCTAGAGTCACCTTCTTGTTGATGAAGGCTGTCCAGGACTCTGGGCCATTGGATATTTTGTGCTCAGTTAACTTTTTTGCAGTATCACCAGTTTTTAGTGTCAGGCACATAGCTGTGGAATAATTGCCATATCTAAGAGTTCCTCAGGTTTCGTCCAGTCTCTGCCTATGAATGAAATAGATATAAAACAACCCAGATACGGCAGTTCAAATAAAAGCAGGTTGAACTGTTTCCTCTTGTCCATTCAAGGTGACAGTACACATGGAGATTTCAAATTCCAGCTAGCACTAACACAGAGAGGATGTGTGACCCCTTCCTTGCCGGGTGAAGTTGGGGGAATACTCCTGACTTGTGTAGGCAGTGCTGAGAACTCAGGTGTGGCCCTACTGTGCCTGCCACTAGGGACTGGGGTCTTTCGGAGGACATAGGATGAGAAGTTGGCCTGATGCAGCACCCTGAAGTGCTCTTGTA